CTACTACGATGCCGGGAACTGCGCTTATGCTGGTTTCATGAGAATGCTTTTGACTCCGGAAGAGCGCCAAGAATGCTACAGAGGGTCAGCCTTGCCCAAGGAGGAACTCCTGGGTGACACGGTGGAGCTGGCGCTCGGGCTTCTTACAATTGCAATGAGACACCCAAGTCATTTTCCGAATTGGGGTGGCCTTGAGGGAGCAAATGCGTGCGCGAGGGGAATCGAAAGATCATTCTTCCGCTACGCGTCGGCCGAAGCTATCGAGCTGATCACGGTTGACTCCCCGCGCAAAAGGACACCGCCCAAGAAGAATGAAGCAGTCGCTGAGATCGTCAACAACATGTCCGCTGACCTCGTGATTGATTTCACAGTGATCGTCGATGGTGATATCTACCCCGTAGAGATTGCGAGAACCGACGAGACACAGGCCGCTGACAACGTCACGGACGATCCAGGGTTCTCCGTTGCTCCACCAATACCTGCACAGGATGTAGATGTGGATGCGCAACCCGAGGAAGAACAAGGTGCAGAAGGCCCTGATCCCAGGCAGATGATTCGTGAAGGATTTGTCGCGCAGCTTCAGGACTATGTGGGAGTACTCGCTCAGGGCGAAATGTCGGTCGGAAACGATCGCCTCACGTTCTGTATCGCTTGCGGCAGTGATCAACACAATCTGTCCAATTGCACGGAAAATGCTGCGACCCGGGATCTGGTACTTCGAGGCATTCAGATCATCAAGGAAAGCCTTCTTCGATATCCACGTCGAGTACCTCCACAAGAGGCTGAGCCAATGGACGTTGACACCACAGACCATGTGAGTGTTGCATCCTCGGACCGACGACCCAAGGCCAAAGCCCGACCGCGACGCGGAGGCGAAGCCGTACGGGGTGATGTGGTCTTGATCCGTTATGAGAACAAACACAATCTCTGCACGGATGTGGAGAACCGTCGGGGCCTACATGATGCTTGTGGCGTACCACTGCAGGACATGGGACCAGAGAATAGCCAGCGGGTGGTGGACCTCATTGAGCAGCTTTCGGACCATCGCGACCGACGCCTACCTCAACGAGGAGACCGTCCTAGCTTTGAATATGATGATACCATTCAGGGCTACACCAATGCAGGCTACGAATGCATCGGCGGCGGAAGGCCAATCCGGTGCGGGATTCTCGACCTGATCCCAACCAAGGGTGCAAGCTTCATCCACAATCGATGGGACATCGTGAATGAAGTTGTCCTTCGCAACATCACCCATCATCGCAGAAGGAACGCGGATTGGGCGCTATCATGCATTCAATCTGACCTGCGTCACAGAATTGCCAGGCGCCCAGGCTCGGAATGGCTTGACAACAGGTGCCAGGTGGCATTCAGCAGCGTCATTCGATGTGATGAAGGAGGGTGGGTGCTGATCGAGGATTTGGTGAGGCATGAGCAACTATGGACCCATGACAGCAGACGCATCACCGAAGCGGTCTCAAGGACCGATGAGCAACAGAGGAAGAGAGTGTACAATGAAAGACTTCAGCTATTGTTCCAAGGGAACATGCTCGCAGCCACGAGACGCCACAAGGCCAAGATTCGGTTGCAGTTCCTGGGAGTGAGAGTGAAGGACCCCGGCGTGGAAACTCTTGGATCCGCAGGTTCGAACATGTTGGTATCGATTCCTGACCAGATCACGAGATCCAGAACAATGATCGTTGCCGGCACAGCCAGAGGTACCTGAACGTTTGCAACGGCTGGGTGAAGCCATGGGCAGTTCGGGCTACAAGTGGTCACTCTGCGCACTCAGATCCCCAGAACAATTTGCTTCAGTTGGACAAGAACAGGTTCGCAATATCTCCATCTATGACCCTCTTGCAACGTCTTGGAGGCGCGTTCCACGCTACGGCATGCCGCAACCTGGATTCCATTGTCACGCAAGGCATCATGCCTGGTTCGGAGGACCCCGACGGGGACTTCGACCATAGGCGCCAATTTCGAGGCAACCAAGGCGGCAGACTCCACAGCTATTGGGGGGTATTTGCACCGTTCGATCACCGGAATGCGACGACCAAGATGCGGGTACATGGACGAGATGCCAAGCACATGCCGCTGGCGGTCCTCCATGTCCCATCGCAGGACCTTGCACGAGAAGATGGACGTATCACAGACAGCGGCATCATGATCGTTGGCCGAACGATACCGTTCCAGTTCGTCAAGGAGGTATGGTTTTGCGTCCCGAATCCTCAAGACACACACTCTTTCGCTCTGGTGGAAAAGATCTACGATGAACGGTTGGAGAAAGAGATGGTGTTGGACTACAATGCATCACCTTTGCTCCCTGAGTTCGAGAGATACCGAACGCCAAGCAAGATCATGGAATTGCTTTGCGAGATGCCTCCTGGACCCCACGACACCAGCAAGGAGCAGATCATTCGAGACCTTACGACTGTCCTGGAGTCCCACAGGGAGAACACGGTTCGGCATCACTACATGGACAAAGGGATCAAGTTTGTCATCAAGAATTGGCGACCCGAAGACCTACGCAGAGACGAGGATGGAAGGAGAATGAGGGTGTGCCCGGCATGCTACAACATCGTTCCAGCATGCTTCTCCCGATGCACGTCTTGCTGGTCACAATTCGTTTCTAGCGGATAGTACCAAGGTTCTCCACAACGGGAGACTCCTACGGAGATCCCCAGTGACTTCATTGCTCAGACAATGGAAGCCGCAGCAGCAGCAGTGCCTGAGGCGCCCGAAGAGGAGCAGGAAGCCATGGAGGTAGAGACCGTTGCGGAACCTGAGGAAATCCCAGAACCATCTGTCATCGCGGAGGACGATCCAGAACAGGAACCTGATGAAGAAATGGACACAGAGCCAGGAGAGGACTTTGATGACGCAGTACCAGATGCAGTTGCACAGGAACGACGTCCCGTCCTCATCGCCGGCCAGTCTTTGAACATCGATCCTGAACTACAACTCGCACGTACCGCCATGCAGCCATCCTACTACTCAGGGAAGCGAAATGCCCATTGCATTGACGCCAACATGGTCGCTCTTTCGTATATGGCATTCGTGGTATGCAGAACCATCTACAAGGCTTGGTCGGGATTCGCGAAGTGGGCTACTATGCCGTTGTTCCAGATGAAGGAGAATTTCGCACTTGGCCAACGCTATGATGTGCTGGGAAAGTGGGGATCTTTGGCTGTAGTGGACAGAGAGACGGGTGTGAGCAGGGATGTGACTGATGAGGAGATCATTCGCTTTGCCAAGGAGCCTGAGAACCTCAAGCAGTACGATCCCAACGGGACTTACACTTTGAAGCGCTTCCGGACGAATCAGATGCTTTCGTTGCTTACACGGGGAGCCAACATGATGGGAATTGGCAGGGACAACTTCAACCCTACTACGTACTTGAAGAGCAACAGGGATGAAGATGTGAAGGCTATGCACTTCTGTTGCCTGAACGTCCTGTGCGAGGTGATTCCGATGGTGACAGGACACCAACAATTCTCAGTGCTACGACCAACGCCAACTGGACCGGTGGACTTCTTGTACATCGACCCCGTCGGTATCCTGCTGACTCATGCCGATCATTCAGTCCAGACCATTGGATTGCTGGTGGACCACAATGTGCAAATGCCTGCGCATTTCATGGACAGATTGGTCAGATCCAAGGCTGAGAGACAGCAAAACCCGACGACCAAACGTACTGAAGCCCTACATCACATTTCGGCCGCTGACTATCTCCCTCCAGGTGGTACTTCCATCCTGGACACGCCTGTCACTACGGAGGAACGTGCAAGCGCTTCTTCGGCCAAGGGACCTTCAAAAGGGCGTGAGAGAACCGGAGGTGAACAGCATGGAGGCTGGAACGCCAACTCCTACTATGACTACACCGCCGGCAAAGGCCGAAACAAAGGCAAGGACAAAGGAAAGCAAAGGGAACAGTATCCAGAGGAAAACCTCCGGCCCTGGGACCGCGATCCTGCGACCACGCGAAGATGGAGATGAATCAACGCTTGGTCTTCCTCGCCTATCAGTTCGTGACCTCTGAGCTTCGCCCATGGAATGCCATCGCGAATGCTTCTTTCTTCGGTGACGCCTGATTCGTTTGCCATTTCAGGGGATCGTTACTGACGTAGATGAGTGTCACAACGTTTCTAATTGGGATGCAAAGCTCTGATTTTCAATGTCAACGTTGCGGCGGAACATTTTCTGTTGTCCTATCGTGCCATCTTCCGGGTGAGCAGCGTCGGAGACGCAACTCATGGGGGGTGCGAACGGACTGCGATGCCTTGTCAAGTTCTAAGGTGTCACTATAAGAGCTGTGAGCAAGACCGTGTAAAGTGCAAGAGAAGGGGGCACGCTACGCGTCCCTCGACTCTAAGGGGGCACGCTACGCGTCCCTCATCTTTACCTTTCTATGTGACCGCCCACGCAACGTTTGGCTCAAGTCAATGCCCATAGCTAAGTGCTATAAGTGTCTTCTATCCTGAGCAATCAGAGCTATCCCGTTGCACAGACGAACCGCCGCCGGCAGTGAGTGCAAAAGGAACGGCCGCCGGTTCTGCCTGCATAGGATTGCACGTGTGGAAGTGTAAGAGAGACAGGGTCCAGTCTGTGGAGAGTGCAAGCCAGCCACACCTACATTCATTACAGCTCTGGTGGGGAGAGCAGCAACCTAGTCGAGATCAATCCCCCACGCATCCTAAACTCCTAGCCCAGTAGTACCCGTATACCCTTTTGTAGTCCTATAAAAGGGAGCCCTTTTTATTCCTTGGTTACTGGGCATCCTCGTATCGTGCCCAGAGACTCCAAGATCCCTTAACTCAGGAATGTTCCTTAAATCATGCATTACCCTAAGGCCCCAAAGTAGTTCCTTTTCGGGGTTCGTATATAGAATTCCATAAGGTAATCCCAAAAAGGAACTACTTTGGGGCCTTAGGGTAGATCCTAAACTCCTGCCCTAAACCCTAAACCCTAAAACCCTAAACCCTAAACTCCTAGAGCCAAAAGCCATGGGCTGCTTTTTCAGCAGCCCCGGCCTCCTTGGGTGCCTCCCGGAGCGCTGTTTGCGGCTTCTGGGCTTTGGAAGGACCATAGGGTTCAGGGTTTAGGGTTAGGGTTCAGGGTTCAGGGTTTAGGGTTTAGGGTTTAGGGTTCAGGGTTTAGGGGTACTTCGAAATAACTTTTAATTTTTGGTTATTATACTCCCTAAGAAACAGCTAAAATTATAATTAGTGCTAGGGTTCTAAGTTCAGTATAGTACTGTTGATGATCTAAATCCTGCATTACTTTAAAGGCCTTAAACTGTGTAAAAGTATGGGATATTCCTTATTATGGGAAATGCAGGATTTATATCATCAACCATACTTTATGACTTGTTTAGGGTGTATTAGGGTTTAGGGTCTACGGAGTCTAGGGTTTAGGGTTCAGGGTTTAGGGTCTAGGGTTAGGGTTTAGGGTTGAGGGTTTAGGGTTAGGGGGACCTGTGGCTCAAAGGAACCATTATGAAGTAAGAGCGCTTTCCTTAAAGGAACCATTATGAAACTTTTTCTCCGCGGTGAACATAGTGGCCTAGATAATTACCGGTACTATTGTATACTATTGTGGGGTTCCTTAGTATGAGTATAGAATAATAGATGCCAATACCGTATTCTAACTATTAAGGCCCCTATACTATACCCTATAGTATCCTTAATAGACCCCTTTTAGGGAACCCTCAAAAGGAACCCTACTCTAAGTATTAAGGCTCCGAATTATACTAAATCCTTACAATCGCCCCTATAGTATCCCTCATAGATCCCTTGTAAGGATCGCTTCAAAAGGCAACCCAACTCTAACTATGAAGGCCCTAAACCCTAAACCCAAAGTCCTAAACTTTTGGCTTTCGCTGCGTGCCGACGAAAAGGAGCCCCTTAAAAAACAAAACGGTTTAGGGTTTAGGGTTTAGGGTTTAGGGTTTAGGGTTTCTAATTATTAGGGCCCCAACGCTTCCCTCAAAGCCCAGGCTTTGGTGTTTCATGGATCGCAGCCTCGAGCTTCCGGCCTGGACCAAGGAGATCCTCAGTTTTTCGGGTTTAGCTTAGGGCTTAGATGGTTTTGGAATATTTGGTTTAGGTTTAGGGTTTACGGTTTAGGAATATATGGTATACGAATATAGGGCTTAGGGCTTTAGAATTGGGTTGTTTAGCGCTATTTGGCTTGGCTTTAGGGTCAGGAGTGAGGGTTTAGGGTTTGAGATTTAGAGTTTAGGGCTCTCCTGTTCTCGAGTTTCTTTTGATTCGGGACTTGATAAACTTCTTGCGATATCCTTACTTCTGTGGCTTATATACTGGAAGAGGGGAGTATAGCATATGCCAAGTTTATTGTATCTGCTTCAAATCTGTCTGTTGTTGTGTCTCTATCAACAATCGCTTCTTGGGTGCAAGTAGCACCCCTTTGCTGGTTCCTTGAGGGCGCCCCCTTAAAAGGGTTCCGTTGTAATTATGCTCTTTGTCTATCACATGGTTCATATGATACAGAACCCAAGTTGGCACAGTTTTTTTGCAGGCCGGAATGGGCTTGTTTTGAGGGTTCTGCAGTAGACCTTCTTGAAGGTTGCTTTAAGGGGCTCCCTGCATTCTACACTTCTCGGAGGTTTCCGGTATACAGGGTTCTGTTTAGGGGCACTAGCAGGAACCTTGCTCTCCCCTTATTTGTAGGGGTCCTTAGCTAAGCTCATCAATAGGAAAGCGCCTGCAGCATGCTTGCGAACCAGCGCTGTCTGCAAGATGGAAAGCCTCTGGCAAAGCCTGGCGTCCTAACTCAAAGTCGGAAACCTTAATTCCCTAAACCCTAAACCCTAAACCCTAATTAACCAACAACCCTAATCATATGTGACACCTTCAACTTGCAGTTCGAGGTTGTTGGATTTGGCCTGCACGTTGCTCTACTGCCTGGAAGCTTACCGGCGGCTGCAGGCTGTCGGCGAGAGCGGCATGGAAGGAGCCCTCTGCCTTTCGGGTTGGTTCAGGGTTTAGGAGGGTTTAGGGTTTAGGCTTTAGGGGTTTAGGGTCTTGAACCCTAAAGGTTTAGGGTTTTCGGGCTTGGGGTTCTAGAGTTTAGAGTTTAGGGTAAACCCCAAGCCCTGAGCTATGCTGCAAGGGTCGCACCCGGAAGCTCATACACCCCAAATCCCAAACCTTAAAAGCCCCAAGATTTATCGCTAAAGTCCTAAATTTGTTTTGTGGCTTCTGGTTGTAGCCCTGAACTTTAGTTCCATCCCGTATCAAACGGGTTCAGAGATTCTTTTCGGGGTCTTCGGGTTTAGGGTTAGGGTTTAGGCTTAGAGTTTGGGGCGTCTGAGTCTCAGAATGCAGGGCTAAGGGTTTTGCGTTAACCGTTTTGGGGACGGGCGGCTAAACCCTAGACCCTAGTCCTTAGACCCTAAACCCTTAATTAAGCCCCGAAACCCTAAACCCGATGAGTCTATAAATCATTCAGATTCGAATGTGATTGCTATCGATGATGGGATGTCTGAAGGCCCCCACTTGGAGGATCATGGGACTTAGTAAGTAGGGTTACAAGTGGTTTAACTGGGGTTATATGTATTTGTAAGTGTAGTTACCTTACTTATAACCCCAACTACTAAAGGCCCATGATCCTTTAAGTACCCTCCTACACCCTTATAGCACCCCTTATAGATCCCTTAAAGGGACCCCTTAAGGACTCCAATTACTAAGTCCCATGATCCTTTGAGTACCCTCCTAAACCCTTCTAGCACCCCTTATAGATCCCTTAAAGGGACCCCTTAAGGACTCCAATTACTAAGCCCCATGATCCTTTGAGTACCCTCCTAAACCCTTATAGCACCCCTTATAGACCCTTAATGACTCCAATTGCTAAGTCCCATGATCCTTTAAGCAGTTGTGAGGAGATGAAGGGCGAGGTTAGAGATGGCAACGTTGAAGCAACGTCCGGCTTTTGTTAACACTGCTACCCGGAGGGTCCATATACACTACCGTTATAGCATCATGCCCTAAAAGACCATCCCCATTATGGTTTTGGGGGACCTATTTCCATCCAGGTAGTGCATATACCCTAAACACTAGATCCTCTGGGTAATCTCTAGAAAACAGGCATCCTAGTGCAAGCCCAAACACCGGCCGGGCGAGAAAAGCTCCACTGAACCTCGAAAAGAGGAAAGCAAGAGACTCCAACATCCCTCATTTAAGGAATATGCCTTAAATCATGTCAGGGTTCCTGCTATAATGTTACGAGTATTCCTTGATTCAGGGATGTAGGAGTCTCTGGGAAGCCTACAAAGCTTATAGACCCTAAATCACCAACTGCAGCCCTTTTTGCAGAAGCGCTCTGGATCACCTCTGTGGTAGTTTTTGCGGCGTCTTGGTTCCACATGTGCCATGGCTGAAAATCGCTTAGTTATGGGTTGAGGGCTTAGGGCTAAGTCCAGAGTTATTCGTTTAGTTTGGGGTTTGAGGGTCAGGGTGTAGTTTTTGCGGGATAATTTAGGGTTGAAGGCTCGTTTCTAGATGTTTTCAGGTATTGTTCGGGGCTGGGATTAGCAAATGTAGTCTTTCCTTAACTTATAGTCCCTGTATCATTCGAGCATAAGATGGGCCCAAGACCTAGTTTATCAGGTCTCTAGATTCAGCCCCTAGCCGCAAGATTGGTCTTGCCGTGCCCTAAACTCTAAGCCCTAACCCCTACGGCTCATGATATATATCCTGCGCTACCCATAATAAGGAAGAACCCATAATTCCCACAGTTTCGGGTCTTTAAGGCAATGCAGGATTTATATCAATATTAAGGAATGTACCTTAAATCATGTTAGGGATCCTATTGTAATTTAAGGTACGTTCATTAATTAAGGGGTTTTGGAGGCTCTGGGTTGACCCTAAGATCCAAGTAGACCCTAAACCCCCTAAGGAACCCTAAATCCTGAAACCCGAAGCCAAGGCTGCTTTTTCACGCCCACTTCAGCCAGCAAGTCCGGCCCGGCGAGCGAAGAGAGGAGGGACTGCCTGGAGATGGGTAGTTTTCAACAGGGTGCTATATTAGGGTCCCCTTTTTTTCGGAAACCGCCCATGAAAGAGATCCACACTCAAGAGCAGCCACGTAGGTGGGAGCTGGTCTTTTGACGCATTTTTCAGAAAATGAGGGTCGTTTGTAGGGTATGAGCCTCTACTAGGATGCCCAGTAGTACCCTTATTCCCTTTTTGTAGTCCTAGGTTCCTTATAAAGTTACCCAATACCAAAAAGAGAGGCCTTTTTATTCTTAGGTTACTGGGTATCCTAGACATTATGGCCCTTTTTTGGGTACTATAATAAGGACCCAAACAGGGACCATAATTTTGACAACCACCCAGATGGGGTTTAGGGGTTTAGGGTTTTGGGGTTCAGAGTTTATGGGTTTAGTCTAGCCCTTAGGTTCCAGCTACAGTTTAGGGTTTAGGGTGCCTAAATACTAGGATTCGATACTAACCGTATAGATATCTAGGATGCCCAGTAGTACCCTTATTCCCTTTTTGTAGTCCTAGGTTCCTTATAAAGTTAACCAATACCAAAAAGAGAGGCCTTTTTATTCTTAGGTTACTGGGTATAATGGATATGATGTATCCCTGGAATCCATTCTTAAGGCAACTGGAGGTCTAGGTTCGTATGGGGCTTAGGGTTCCTTTAAAGGGATCTATAGGGGTCTTAGGGTTCCTTTAAAGGGATCTATAGGGTGTCTTAGGGTTCCTTTAAAGGGATCTATAGGGGGTGGGGGGGGTTCTGGATTCCTATTCCTGTAGAATGAGAACCCTGCAGAAAACCTCAATTGCAACTCAAGTGGTGTTTGTCGTCAGTTTCCTTGGTGCTTCAAGTACGTAAACGCATAGCCAATACCTACTTCTGGGGCTTTAGTGAGCCGCCGGGTTTTTTGCAGCATTTGCATTCCAGCCTTACGTTTACAAGGCTCCACCTCAGATTACCTATGTATATTTAGAGTTTAAACATTAATGCATTTGCGGTTTGAGGCAAGACCCGACCTTGCCGCATTTGCGGTTTAAGGCAATATTCGGGTTCTGCCGGACCCGACCTTGTGTGGTTTAAGACAATCACATTTGCGGTTTGAGGCAATTTTTGGACCCGACCTTGGCACATTTGTGGTTTAAGCAACGTTTGGGTTTCGCCGGACCCGACGTTGCCACAATTTGCGGTTTGACGCAATTTTGGTTTTGCGGGGTTTAGTCTGCACTAGCCTTGAGCTTTTAAGGCTAAGTCTGGGCTGGTCTTCAGGGTTTGCTTAATCTGGGTTGGCATTTAAGGTCTACTTCAACCCTGAATAACCTACCTCCTTATTAAGGGTTTCCTTATATAGGTCCTTAAAAAGGTAGGTTATTCCGGGTTAAGGCAGAGCTTAGTCTAGGCTGGTCTTTAGGGTGTAGGGCTTAGTCTGGGCTGGCCTTGAATGTCTAGGGCTTAATTTGGGCTAGTCGTTCTGGCGATTACTGTTTACATGAAGCGAGTATTTTTTTGCTTCTGTTGTGTAAGAAGCAAAATGGTGTTCGTCTGGAGTGAAAGTGTGAAACTATGAATCGTATGTGGTGGAGAACTTTCTATTTGGGAATGTTATGGGAGTTTTTGTGTGGGTGGGTGTTCCATCAGAACCCTAAATACAACTTTACTATAGCTCCATCCGGAGCTGCTGAACCCTAAACCCTGAACCCCGAAACCCGTAAACCCAAACCCCTAGACCTTAAATTTAGGCCGCAACCAGAGCGGAGCTATTGAGAGCGCGTCTCCCGTAACCCGCGCTTTAAGGCACTAGAAACATGTGGTGGTTTCCGAAAAAAGGGGAACCTAATATAGTACCCTAAATAGTAGGATCCTTATGAAAAGGGCCCCAAAATGAGGTACCTCTAATAAGTTTGGAAACTCCCATGTATTTGAAGGATTTGCGAAGAACACCGCAGGGTTGATGTTAGACCCTTCTTGGAGGGGGGGACTTCGTAAGTAGGGTTTTAAGCAGAGTTATCAGTACCGTAGTAGGAGTTACCCCAATTATACCCCTACTTATGACCCTGCTTACTAAGTCCCTTGCCCCTCCACGTAAAGTCTAAACCCTCAACCGCACAGGCCCGAGGAACCTTGTGAGCAGCTGTAACAGGGAACGGTTTAGGGTTTAGGGGGGGAGATCAAGTCGATCTTAAGGGGATGTTGAGGGAAATTTATACGCCCTAGGGTTCAGGGTCTAGGGGTTTAAGGTTTGGGGGCTTACTTAGCTCCCGGCCCGGCAAGTGAGCCCTAAATGCCCCTAAACCCGAAACCCTAAACCCCAATCCCGCATCTGAGCCAGGTGGACATTTGCCACGTTGGCGCCGGCTTCTGGTGCCTTGTGTTCCCCCTGATAATGGTGCTGGTGTTTGGCTTGAGTTACTGGCTCCTCGAGCTTTACTTTTGTCTCCTTAGGATTTTTTCGATTTTTGTTCAATTTAAGCCCCGGAGAATATTTTAAACAATATCTTCATTATGATTCCAAGGGGGGGCATAGTTTAGAGTTACTGCAAGGTGGGCTCAGGATTTGCTAGCGACGAAACTAGCAAAGGTAATACCATGAGGCTTCTGCAATCTTACTGCAAGGTCATAACTTATACTCTTGCAGCAAGCTTGCAGAAACCTCATAACAAATGATGGTAACAATGATGACTCTGATAGTAATCGGAACAAGCTTCCCAGAGACTCCAATATCCCTTAATTAAGGAATATACTTTAAATTATAGTAGGATCCCTAATATGAGTTAAGATAATATGTCCTTAATTGGGGGATATTGGAGTCCCCTAAACCCTAAACCTTATAGATCCCTTATAGGAACCCTTAAAGGGGGACCCCTTCAAAGGTCCCCCAACCCGCCCAGTCCAGCCCAAGCCCAGCCGAGCCGAGCCCAGCCCGCAGACCCCAGCCGCAGCTAAGAGGCACCCCCCCAGCCCCACCCCGGCCCACCAATTCCGGAAGCAAGTGTTTAAAGACAACGTGTCGGTGAAAACTTTCGGTCCAAACTTTCGGTGGAAACTTTCGGTCAACACTTTCGGTGAAATCTTTCGGCCAAGATTTATTGGCACCAAAACCCTCAACACAAACCTCAAACCCTAAACCCTAAAGCCCAAAAGCCCTGAACCCATGAACCCTAAAACCTGATAGCCCTAAACCCTAAATACCCCTAAACACGTAAACCCCTAAACCCTAAAGCCCTATAGCCCCAAACCCCTACACCCTAAACCCCTAAACCCTAAACCCCTAATCCCAAAACCCCTAAACCCTACTTGGAGGGGCAGGAGACTTAGTAAGTGGGGTTATAATTGGGGTTAACGCTACTTCTAATCTACTTACTTTAAGGAGGTCTTTAAGAACCCTTACTCAGTCCCCCCCGCCCCTCCAAGATGTGTATTCACGTTATATTACATTATAGTATATTATCGTATATTACAGTACATTATAGTATATTATCGTACATTATAGTATATCACAGTATATTATAGTATATTATAATATATTCCAGCAGTTAGTTATAGTCAGAAAACCGCGCCTCCTTAACAGGACCCTTTTCCCTAAACCCTAAACCGTATAGTACCCTTATAGTCCCCCTATGGAACCCTTAAAGGACCCCTTCAAAGGACCCTTAACCCTAAACCCTGAACCGCATAGTACCTTTATGAAAGGAGCCTTATAGGACCCCAAAAGCCACGCCTAAACCCTAAACCCCAGAGATCCCTTTAAGGAACCCCTATAGATCCCTGTAAAGGGCCCTTTAAGGACCCTCCATTTACAGTAGAAGCCAGAAAGTTGGAATATCATTATCCTAGCCCCTTTAAGGTAAATTATAGGGGATCCTACCATTAATCCATATTCCAACTTTCTGGGGTTCCCTTTAAACCCTAAGGAACTACCGTAAACCCCTACATCCTAAACCCCAAACCCTGAACCCTAAACCGTATAGTACCCTTATAGTACCCTTTATGGAACCCTTAAAAGGAGAGCACCCTTATAGGACCCCAAAAGCCCTGCGTAACCCAATAAAGGAACCCTATAGATCCCTTTAAGGATCCCTTTAAAGGAACCCCTACAGATCCCCATTTTTAAGCCTTTAAGGCCCTGAAAGGATCCCAATAGTTCCCTTTAAGGAGCCCGACGAGCCTCGGTGCCATGGCGAGCGGATTTGGCATTTGGCTGCTGCTGGGATCCTGCTGCTGGGTGGCAGGGCCTTCCTGAGGGGTCCTTTTAAGGGGTCCATCTATAAACGGTTTAGGGTTTAGGGCTAAGAGTCCGTTTAAGGGGTCCATAAGGGCACTATAAGGGTTCTATAGGGTTTAGGGCGCCGCACACGGAGGTGCGCGGGCTTGGAGCTGCGAGCTGTTCTCGTGTCTCTGTCTGTGTTTGTGTCTGCGTGTTTGTGTCTTTTCTTTTGTGTGTGTGTGTGTGTGTGTGTCTGTGTGTGTGTGTGTGTGTGTGTGCCTGTGTGTGTGTGTTTGTGTGGGTATGTATGTGTATGTATGTGAATGTAGATGTATGTATGTATGTATGTAAGTTTGTTTGTATGTATGTATGTATGTATGTATGTATGTATGTTTGCATATATATATATATGGATGGTGTGTGTGTGTGTGTCTGTATGTGTGTATGTATGTATGTATGTATGTATGTGTGTATGTATGTATGTATGTATGTATGTAGCATGTATGTGTGTATGTATCTATGTGTGTTTGCAATGTAATGTATGTAATGCATGTAGTGTAATGTACTGCAGTGTAAGAAAGCACGCATGTATGTAGTGGTGTTCATCCATCGGTTTCTATAGTTATTCGGTTGTTAGCCTGGTTATTTGGTTGTTTACTTGTTAGTTTATCTGTTTGTTCGCAATTACATTCACATGTATATGTATATACACATATATGTACATATGTATATATGTATATATATATATATATATATGTATATATGTGTATAAATATATATATATATATATATATATGTGTGTGTGTGTGCATACCTGTCTATCTCACATACATACATACATACATACATGCATACATACATACATACATACATACCTACATGCATACATACATACATTCATATGGCCGTATTTATCTAGTTCTGTTAATAGATATGTATACACATGTATATATGTATGTTTGCATGCAGATATGTATGTGTGCATGTATGTATGCATGCGTGTATCTGTGTATGTAGGTAGGTATAGATACAGTTGGGTGTGTGTATATGCATATATTAACATGTAGAACATAGTCACATGTCTATTATACACGTTCTCATGCACGCATAATGAAAAATCTTAATGAATACATAAATGCACGGCAATAGGACCCTGCGCTACACGGTTGCTAGAGGTTGTGCGTATGCCTCGTGCTTGAAACATGCACAAACCCACAAAGAAAACGCAAATCCCTGTACAACTGCTAGGAGGCCTTCTTTAGAATCCAGCAAAAGACTGTCTGTTGGTGACAGCCCCAGTATTGCATCTGTCCAGGGCCCCGTTGCAGCTTGAAGCTTTTCAAGATTCGAGTCCTTGGGCTCCGGCTTTCCAAGAGTAACGAAGAGTCTCGGGGTTTGCCAGCACGGGAGGTTTTAGAGTATGACGAGGGCGCTTCCACACGTGAGCCCTTCCCCCTCCCCCGCCCGCCCCACTCCCCTCCTCGGCAAGCCAGAAGCACGCTACCTCGAATGAGTAGGCTCGTGCTCCCGGGATCCAGCAAATGGAAGCGTTAAGTGTCGGATTTAGAGGCATAACAAGCCCCAAACCCCACACCCTCCACTTTACGCCTGGATACAATTGGTGCTGTCCCCACAAGCAACCAGGACGAAAGTCTGCAAGACCCAGTAAACCTAAGCACACCATTTAGGGTTTATAGGGTTTCCTTAGACTTCTTAAGGGATTTATCTATAAGGGGTTTATAAGCAGAGGGGCTCAAATGATTCGAATACTTGTTGTTTTTGGTATTTGTGCACAGGCGACAACAAGGGAATGACTTGTAGCAATTCTTCGGGCCTCTATGCTGCTCCCATCTTTGTAGATCTCGCTCCTCAGGCTGCCTTTGCTTGGTGGGCTGGTCCAAGCAGCTCGACGTCCGTTTGGGACCTGCTGTGAAGCTTTTGGCTCAGTGCATGGGTAAGCCCAAGCATGCCTTTATAGACCCTTGATTTTATCCCTAAACGGAAGCGCCTAACCCTGAACTCTAAGTAATCCCAACAGCCTTGAAGTCTAAACCCGAAAGAACTATGACTATGACCCTACCGTAACCCGGAATAACCTACCATTTTAAAGACTTACATATATAAGGAAATCTTAATCAGGAACCCCCCCAAAGGTAGGTTCTTCAGGGTTAAGGTAAACCCTAATTAAGCCTAAACCCTCAACCGCAGAGTTCTGGCAAAACCTCAACTCGAAGCCTTTATGCAGGCTCCAGGTCGAAGGACTTTCCATGCGCCAGTTTAGGGTTTAGGGGGTTTAGGGTTGAAGGTTTAGGGTTTAGGGGTTGGGGGGTTTTAGTTTAGGGTTTAGGGGTTTACGTCTCAGGGGTTTAGGCGTTTAGGGTGATCGCTCAATCTCTTCTAACCTAATCGCAGTGATATCGGCGGTTTTGATCCGATTCATCATACTCATGGTTTATAAGGACCGAAAGGCCTTCATACATAGTACCCAGAGCCTCCAATACCCCTTAATTAAGGAATATACCTTAAATTTTAGGGGCCTTAATATTATGGTTTAAGGTATATTCCTTAATTAAGGGGTATTTGAGTCTCTGGGTAAGGAGCCTTCTCCCCATAGATCCCTTTAAAGGGACCCTTAAAGGAACACTTATAGAATCCCTGTAGATCCCTTTAAAGGGACCCTTAAAAGAACCCTTATAAGGAGCCCGGAACATGCCGGCTTTTCGGGGCACAGGTAAGGAGGCTTTGTGGTTCATAGAATCAGAAACGGCATAGGGTGTTGGCGGCCGAAAGTGTCGCCGGAAGTCGTGGCCGAGTTGTTCTTTCAGGGTTTAGGGTTTAGGGGTTTAGGGCATAGGATCAAGATGGGTTTAGGGTTTAGGGGTTTAGGGATCAAGATGGGTTTCGGGTGGGCTTCATCGAATCGTTTTGACTGGGTGGCAGTCTTCAGCTTTCACCAATGCACAACACCTGTGTCGCCTCTCATTTTGTCGCCTCGCACAGATTCGGCCTGGTTGTTTCGTGCAATTGCTGCTGGTCTTGTGATTTGCAGCAGCGTCGTTGAACCGCAGCAGTATTGACAACGCATCAAGCAGAAAGGGGGCAGGAAGAGCCGTGCGCCGACACCGTGTTCAGAAATTAGCTCCACTTGACCGCGACAGAGTCTTCACTCGGAAACTTATACAAACATGCTGCTGACGGGCCTTTCTCCTGCGATAAAGCAGCACAAAAACTCTCGGATTCAAAACGATGCATGCGACCGAGTTTTTCCTTCAAAGAAACTGGCTAAACTCGCTGTTAGGGGCTGGCCGGTGACTTGGCGCTGGGTCGTGCACTGAAATTGGGGCCGGGGGCTGCGCTGATCGAAAGGTTTTGACCCAGTTTTTGTGTTGAAGGAAGGCGCTCAAGGCCGTTCCCCGCAAATACCGTTGAGACGGACTAGCACGAAGAGCCGCCTAGTAACACTTCGAGCGTTTAGACACCTTCAAAATCACTCCCCCCATGTCGCAGCAGGATCAATACGTACTAAGCCGAATGGGTACACTTTGCACGTTTGGGTACAATACGATCCCTTGAAAAACTGAAAGTGTGCCATTTCTCTCGTGAACGCAGCAACGGACAATGCTAAAGATGGTCGTTTGAGGGTTTACCTTAACCCTGAATAACCTACCTTCTTAGGGTCCTTAGTACGATTTCCTTATATAAGTCCTTACAAAGGTAGGTTATTCCGGGTTAAGGTAGGGGTTACTTGGAGGATCATGGGACTTAGTAAGTAGGGTTATAAGTACCTTAATTAAGGTCATATGTAATTATAACTGTAGCTACCTTACTTATAAGCCCAGTTAGTAAGTCCCATGATCCTTTAAGTAGGTAAACCCAAGACCAGGTCAGTACCATGGGGAATCTCCGCTGGCCTCGATGCGCCCGGCCTGGGCCACGTCGTGCCTAAGCCGAAGCACTGGAAGTGGCCAGCGGTCCCTCCCTGTGGATGCAAAAACCTACCGTTTTAAGGGTTAGGCCCTCTAACCAAGGGATCATAACCTACTATTTTGTAGGGTTTGGGGATACAGGTCTGTTTTTGTTGTTGTTATTTTTACGGTTTCGGCTTCGTAGGCTGCATCTGGTGTTTCGTGTCGTGCTTGTGAATGGAGGGCATGTAGCCGCCCTTACATCCTCTCTCCATCCTAACCCTCAGACTTATACCCACAGTGCTGACACCCATACCTTCAGAAAGCACGCTGTGCACCTCATGGAGCCCAACTTGCAGTAACATCAGAACTCGGAACCGCTAGCTTTTACTATCGGTGTCGCCGTAACTAGTATCCCCGTACGGCCCTGATATGAATATACTAGCATACCCCCAAAACCTCAGTCGAACGAATAAGGAGCCTACGTTACTTCGCCCAGCCCTCCCCTCCGCGCTGCATCTCCCCATCTGGAAGAACCGTACCCAGCAGCACATCTAAGGTCGCTTGCAGGGCTCAGCACAACGGCCTGGAGGAGGTCATCAAGTTCCGTCAAGCGCACCTGGGCTTCACAACAGAGCGGTTTCCGAGTACAACAATGGAAGCGAGTGGCAGCCCGAGTTTAGGAACATAATCGCCCCATTGTATATGTGTATAGTAGATATGTACGTACTTTCATATGTAATTGTTTCCATGTTCATATATGTATACATGTGTAAATGTGTATGTGTAAATACGTACACATATAGGTATACAGATGTATATAAGGTTATATATATATATATATGTACATATCCATGCAAAAGTAGTATTTCTAGATCCATGGATGTAGATATATGTATACATGATGCTGCTAGATGATGGGGTAGGTGCTGGGGCGGCGAGGGGTCACATTCAAGCCCTACGCAAGCCATAAACCCCATAAGACAGCGCATGCTCCTGTTTATTAACCTGAACCTGTACTTTAAACCCTAAACCCAACCCTAACCGTCCCTAACCCCTGCCTAAATGCAAGCTCTAAGCCTAAAGCAGAGTATGAACCGTCAACCCTAACGAACCTAGCCTTGTCGATCGAAGCCTGATACCTTTCAACAGTAAGCCCCAAACTCAAGAGCAAGCTAAACCCCCAAACCCCAAAACCCCACAACCACCCCACGGGGGGAAGAGAGACCCCACACCCCACACCACAGGGGAGGGGGGCACCACCTATATCCAGACCACTGACCTTTTGGGGGGCGGGACGGGGGAGGGTGGGGCCGCGGAGTGCGTGACCATATACGATCATATGTATCTATATACATACATACATATATATATATATATATATGTATGTATGGTTCCGGGGCCAGGGAATGGTCGACATCTTCCTATAGCAGGGGCCGTTCTCGCTTTTTCAGCTTGGCCTGAGACTTCAGGAACGGCTACTGCGAGTTCTTGCGACTTGCGCAGGATGTTCCCGGCATCGTGATGTGTTCTATAGACCTCAGCTATTTCGGAGCAAGCTGGTATGCACTGATGAAGCTGAGCCTGTCAGTATGTCTAGTCACTCTCTACTGCTGTTTGCTGTTGGTGGTCACGTGCGCTGTGCCCCGTCGTGATTCCTCGAAAACTGGGATCGTGGTTGGTGCACCAGTTTCACCCTGAGATCCAGGTGACCGAAACGGGAAGGACTGCACGAATTCAAAAGGTGAGAATGCCAGTCACGGCGGGCACCCTTCACATGCTTATAGTCCTTCCATGTTGTTATTATAACGGTTTATACCCCCAGACCATTTGCAAACTAGTGCGGCTCCTCTATGTGTGTGAGGATGCTTTGCTTAAGGCCATCTTACGCGTTCCGCTGGCCGCCGACTGCGTCGGCCTCGCCAAAGCGAGGTCCCGCAGTCCTGTGCACTTGCCGGGTGGCCTGCAACACAACATTTGAGCGCAGTTGGGATGCGGAGGGAAACGACTTGCGGGCGTCGAGAGCGGGCAACGTTCATCGAAGCATACTACCTGAATCGTGCTGTTGCCTTGTTGCGCCAAAATCAGTATTGCTGGGGCATAATCTTTCTGAGTTGCATACCAAATAACAACATTCTAGGATGATAATTATCGCGAAAATTATCGATTAATAGATACTATTATTGATGGAAAATAAATTGACAGCTATATCTTTTTTGATAAATATTTATTTATCTTATATTATATGGAGAAATTCTCAAAAGATATTCCATAGATAGAGATTATGGAAGGCTATTTATACCGATAAATAAAAACCTCGAATTAAGATCGAGTTGAAATTAATCTGTTTGCAAAAACGATATATATATATATTTTTCATATTTAAAATGAATATCTGTTTCATCAGGAGAAAATTGAAACTATAGATATTAAAGATATGAGATTGATATTAAAAATATATTAGATATTTAATTTGAAAAT